CCGATTTGAACTTAATGTGTATGTAAAGATAAACCATGCTGCCCAAAAAGAACCCCACACGAGTAGGAGGTGAAGGGACTTCCAATGTTAATAACTTGAATCAACAAGAAACGTTGAAACCCCTTAATTAAATCATCATTAGGATTCCATTTATAATTTTGAGATAATGGAATCCAATTACTTACCAAAGCAATATCCACATAATCTACATATTTGAAGTAAGGTGTGTTTGGTTCATGTTGTGATTGACTTTACTCATTCTCTAAGCCATAGTCTTCTAAAAATGGTTGCTCTTATGAATTTACTATACCATCATCATATGTCACATTCATAGCCACATCTTTTGCTTCATTGTATTCATCTTACTCTTCTTTTGATTCTTCATATTCTTCCCTCTCCTTACCTACATCAACTTTTTCCTTTATTAAGTTATTATTCACATGCATACCATTAAATATATCAGCACTTTCATGTTCAACCATTCGTTGTATAATAGTCATATCCATACTTGTATCTCTTTCATGATCATATTTATGCACTACACCAAGAATCGAAGAAGTTAGATAATCTAGACAAGAAACATGATTTCTATCATAGTGTACGGGAGAATTAAGTAAATTGTTATTTTTTTAAGTGATTAATTGCCTAAATGCTTCGAACTAATGCCTTAAATATCTCACTCGGATGATTCAATGAGTATACCTTCCGTCTCAACATACAACTCAATGTTACTAACTGAAGCATGAATAAAAGGAATTTCAAGCATAATGTCTACATCGCTATCATCAATAATACACAAGTGAATATACTTGACCATTGATGTCCGTACAATTATAGAATATATGTAGACTAAATTTAGCCAAACATGTTATTTGTCAAATCTTATAATAGCATATAATTTATCTAGTAACTCATAATATTTTATCATTTGGATCACCTTAATGGCTTTTATTGATGGATTATCATAATATGATCCTTCTTCTTCCTCAATAATATGTTTGTTCTAGTAGCAAAATATAGGTATATCTTTAATTGGTTGTCTAAATGTGTATGTCACATCTATCGAGATGTTAAATGCACTTTTGTATATGTTAAAAATACAAAATTATGCTTAAAATGCTAATTGATATTGAATGCATTTACTTCCATTTGTTGGACTTTAAAATTTCAAAATGCTATTAGAATAAATAGAATTCTATGCATATTGATAAATATTCTTTATTCAGGAACTAACATGTGAGCAGAATAACACATTTAATTGCTAACAATCAATATACCATGAAATTATGTAGTTGCTTAAAATTGTTTACAATCAAATAAACAACTTACGAAACTGCTATTATTTCGAAATATCAAGGTACAATTAGATATGCATTTTGATTAATGAAGGTTAAATGAATCCTTAGCTATGATGTCCTTGCCAATACCAAAAAAAAAAAAAAATGTGGCTCTTTCTTGAGATTTAGAGGCGAGTGATATCTTTACTAGAGTTAAGATTAAAAAAAAAAATAGGTACAAGGTCTTTCAATATCCTGTTATGTTAACGTAGAGTTTCGGCCATCATGTTTAAAAACATTTTTTGAGACTTCCAAGATTTTCTATAAAAGGTATTTATGAATTAAAAAGTCTGTGATTCTTATTTATTTATGAGCATAGGCGTAACTAAATGCGTATGGTGCCTCTTATTATATGGTTTATTGGGCAAAAACACCGACAAACAATATCTAAAATCACCTAAAAGAATTCATCTATCCGTTGCTGAAATTGCAACTTACTTAAGGTCTTAATCATAATAATCAATGTAGCACACGATGCTATAACAATCAACCAACAAAACAAAAAGACTCATCCATTTAAGAAGAACTGAAGCAAGCCAAAAAAAAAAAAAAATTAGAAGAGGATGAAAAAAGATTGATACGAAATTCATTTACAATTAGAACACAAAAAACCCAAATCCACCACTCGGTGAAAATTCTCAAATAGAAAAACATATGGTCATTACCCGAGGTCTTTATCACCATGAGATGGCTCGACTAAAGAAAGAAAATGAGAAAAAAATCACAAAAGAAAAAGAGAAACATTGAATGCTCTATGCTAGAAGAAAAGGAAATGACACCACTGGGCTCTCCGCCACCATAAATAGCTCTAACCAAAGAAAAAAACTAAGGAAAAAAATCACCAAAAAAAAAAAACATTAAATGATCTATAGTTTCTCTCAAATACCTTTAATTTATTACCCGGCAGCTTACCACAACTATACTCAAATATTTTTTTTTCTTTCTTATAGCATTAAGAGCACTCGATTTTAATAATTTTGATAGTAAATTTAACAACACAAGTTATGAAATTCTTCTTAAAATACAAACACTCAAAATTAAGAATGTTTAATATACAAATTAAAAGAAAATTTTATCAAAATTAAATAAATAAAAACAAAAGAATTTAAAAAATACCTAAATTGATGATATTCATATGCTAAAAAACTTTTCTAGTAATTGTGATTTTGAATTGTGAGAGTATTTGAACTTTAAAAACTTAAGGCAAAGACAACAAAAGAAAGACAAAGAGAGCGTAAGTTAATTTTTTCTTTCATGTTTCTAATTTTTTAAATATATATATATATATATATATATATATATATATATATATATATATATATATATATTATAACACTTAATTAAAAAGATGGCATGAATACCTATATGTCAAAACTACCCTTTTTTTTATAAATAAGATTTAAAATATCTTATTTTGAAAAAATAGATAAAAAAAGTACCTTATTCGGGGGGAAAAAACTCAAGAATTAGTGGTAAAAAATATGGAATTGAAATAGTATGGCAAAAAGGGTCATGAGGTTAAGGCATTAAATAGAATTTAATAATTAATGAATAAATGAATTTAATGAACTAGTTTAATAGGCTAGTTTTATTAAATCTGGAACCAAAGTTCCATAATTTCAAAAAATGTTTTGAGTGATCAAAACTCTAATTTAAAGTCTAAATGAATTTATTAAGTGCTTAATTGAATTAATTAAATGAATTTCTAGCCTACGTATTTTTTCTTAAAATAATGGCATTAAACCAAGATTTAATGGTTTAATGTGCCATTATTTCTAATTAAATGAAATATATTATAAATAAATTATTTTAAATGAAGATAATGTAAAATAATCTTACTTTATCTTATGGAATATTTGGAAATTGAATATTTCTATTTTAAATTAAATACGATTTTTTAAAAGGAATTTGAGAAAAATAAAAGACATAGCACTATTCATTATAATATAAGGTATTTTATTAAAATGATTAAATTGGAATCCAAGAATATGAATTTTTGACTAAATTATGCCTTTTAATATTTATACACGGTATGTAGGAATATCAATTAGTGTTAGTGGAATTTTCAAAAAAAAATTATATGTGAATTTTCTTTAATATGAACCTATTATTTCCTTCATTATTGGGGACCCTCGCTGAAAACCCACCTTTTGCTAGTAATTTAGAAATATTAAGACATGAGATTTGTTAGTTTGCATTCATTACACTTCAAATGTAGATCAACGCCAATAGTACTCTCGACCTATTCGAGTCTTAGGACAAAAGTGTTATAATTTGCCACTCTCTACCAAAATTCACCTAGTATTTCATGTCTTGGTCTTGAAGAAAAGTGTGGGAGATTCCTCCTAAGTTACTCCTCAATTGTCGAATTTCTACAATATTAGTGGTGCTTCTCCAAAAGTTCCGAACCCATTCTTGATGTACGTGAGCAAGGAAGAAAGATGAAGTGTTTGGTCGAGTGACTCGGAACTAGCTGAGTCATATGCTACTTGAATTAACCGTGCCAATTTCTTCTAAGACTTTCCTAATTTTCCTACTCTTTGAGGACAATGAGTTTTTAGGTGGGGACAATCGTTACAATTAGTCTACTTCTAGGACTCGATCTACTACCGTTAATAATGAGTCGCTCAATTTATGGCAACAATCCTATCTTGCATTAACCAATTCTATAGTTTATCTCTTATTGAATAGCTCTAATTTACTAGTTAGTTTACTTTCTTTTTTTCTTTGTAAATAGTATATTCAAAGGTAAGGTTCGAGTTGAATAAAGTAGATAATTAATTTTCCTTCATTGCATATCTTATTGATTGCTTGTGTAATTATTAGCTTTGTTTTATTATTTTTTTCAAGATAGCTCGTGAAAGATAACGAACATGTGATAGAGGCACGGGTAATGAGAATAATCTAGCACTTAACATCAACTCTTATAAAATAATTTGACATATTATTTTTCTTATGCTTATATCACAGTAATTGAACTTGATCCAACCATGAGCGTTCAAATTTTCGGATCCAAGCCAAAATTTCCAAGATAATAGAATAAAAATGGTGGGGATAATGATAAATATATCAATTGGCATAATAGTCAACAAGATGATGGTAAAAGATTAATACATCATCAAACCACTTCTAGCATCACGAGGACCAAATACACGTTCAAATCATAGAACCCTCAGCGAAAGAAAAACTGTATTTATTTAAATAACAAAGGAACAATAATGGAAGCGATGAATATTTTTCAGTTAGAAGATATAATCACAAAACTTAGTGTAAATGAAGTTGAAAACCACTTTTATCAACAAATAATTAATTCCGTCAACAAAGATTTAAGTAGCCTAACTTTTGGAAATGATTTTCCTAAAACATCAGTAAGGTTAGGAATGGATTAGGTGGTTGATGTATTTTAAAATACCAACATATGATATTGCAATAAAAAAGGGCAATATATATATCTGACATTGGTTCCGTCTATACGCACGGTGTCGTCTCGTTCAAACTACAGGAGTTGGTGAAACCGTTGACTAACCGCGCTCATTTCATGACCGCAATCACTCCTTCCTTTTTCAATTCACGTTCTCTTAATCCTTCTTGCATTCTTATTAAGTAGTCAATTTAGCTGGCTAACATCTCTTGTTTCTTCTACGACTTTTTCTTCTTTTTTCAATGGAGAAAGAGCACTATCCAGTTCCTCCATCAGAGATCCAAATCAGGGTGAATTCAAGAAGAGGAGGAAACAACTCTATTATCCACCCAGTAGAGATAGATACTCCAACTCACCAAGTATTGCCGGCAATGGCATCATCATCATCAGCTCCATCACCAGTGGTCTATAGAGAAGCTAAGCACCTCAAGACATGGTGGCCTTGGTTAATACCTGCTTTTGTGATTGCCAATGTTGTTATGTTTATTATCACTATGTATGTTAATAACTGTCCCAAGAAGTCTGTCTCTTGTATTGCTCGGTTCTTGGGTAGGTTCTCTTTTCAGCCCTTTAAAGAGAACCCTCTTCTTGGTCCTTCATCCATCACGTAAGTTTTCTTTTCTTTTTGTTTGTGTGTGTCTGTGGTACTTCTACGTACTTGCAGTCTATAAGACTCATGAACTAATTAGTTTAAAAATTGTTCAGATATAATAGAGTGGTTCTGATTGTAGTACTTAATAATTGTTTTAGGCTACAGAAAATGGGGGCTCTACATGTACAGAAAGTAGTTGATGGACATCAGGGGTGGCGGCTCATCACCTGCAATTGGTTACATGGAGGGGTTTTTCATTTGTTGGCGAATATGTTGTCTCTTTTGGTTATTGGCATTCGGCTTGAGCAGGAATTTGGGTTTGGTGGGTGTGTGTGTGTGTGTGTTTTATTATTATTATTTTTTTTTTGCATTTCTTCTATCGGATTACTGTGCATAAATAGCTTATATAGCAATTACAAATCTGAAAAAAATTACTGATTATCAAGCTTCAGCACCTTCTAAATTCTTTCCACATGATGTTGTGTGGACATTAAAAAAGATTGTAGGATAATTAATTTTACATCACCATAAACTATCTCAAGGAAATGATGTTGCTTATATTAGTAAATAAGAGAAATATTTGACAATTCCAAAGAGGAAAATTTGATTTATTGGTGAGGATTAATAAAACTTAAAATTCCTAATTTTTGTGTTTGAATAATTATTGGAACAAGCACAAGATATGGTAAAATAAGTTGAATTTATAGCAACTAAAAGGCTGTGGTTCCTTTGGGAAGCCTCATGATACACATAGCTAGGCGGACAGTTCTCTTGACGATTTTCCTTTTCTTCTTGTTCTTAATTATCAATGCATGTAGCATACTAAAAAAGAATAGAACCAAACACAGTAGAGAGAGAAGTGAAAGGAGAGGGAACTAATAGCACATTTTGTTACAAATAAGTATTATAATCCCAATGTTTATAAATGAATGACAAGGAAATAGATATTGAAGCAGTGATTGAAGAAGTGCTTGACGCAGATTTAGCTTGTCGTTTGTTTTTTTGTTATTCTGTTCAATGCCTAAGGCCTAAAACTATTAGAATGTTCAAAGTTCCATTGCTGTTATCATCTTTTTGAAATGATAGTCTGATTTGGAGGTGTCTAATTCCCAAATTAGTTTCAAGATATTTTTCATTTTGTGCTTTAGTCTGCCAAATATTCTATGTTCTGCATTTTTTAGAGGCAACATTTGCAGCTAAAACCATTAGAATATTCAAAGTTGCATTGCTGTTATCATCTTTTTTAAATGATATTAGTTTCAAGATATTTTTCATTTTGGGCTTTAGTCTGCCAAATATTCTATGTTCTGCATTTTCTAGAGGCAACATTTGCGGCCTTGTACACGATGGTGTTCAATGCCACTGGTTTTAATTTCCTTTTTATTTGTTCCTCCTTAATACCATTTCTATGCGTCTGCATAGGAGTGCCCATATCTGAAACTATGTCTTTTCCCCCCTGCATTAGTATTTATTTCTTGCCAATATTGTTCAGTGGGAAATACATAGGTGGAAACTTTGATCTATCAGGTATAAGCCTGCGATATGGCCTAAGCTAACCGTCATGGACGTGGCAATGCATAGATGAAACTTTCTGAATGTATCACGATGTTTTCTGTCAGTTGATAACCCGCCCCAATAGTGTAAAGAATAAGCTGTTGATGACAATTTTTTTGCATTATTATGGGTCAAAACTGTTGCCTCATTTCTGTTTGGTGGTTTACAGTAAAGGTTGGTTTGCTATATGTCATCTCTGGGTTTGGTGGGAGTTTGCTTTCGGCTCTTTTTATCCAATCGAATATCTCTGTTGGTGCTTCTGGTGCACTCTTTGGGTTACTTGGTGGCATGCTCTCTGAAATCATAACTAATTGGACAATATATGCTAATAAGGTACTTTTTGCACCACTTTTAGTTGAAGCATGTTCTTGTAAAATGGTAGCAGAGTTCTAGTAATTTATATTTGTTGAGCTCATTATCTTACAATTCTTGGCACAAGTTAAGGTGGCAGCTTTCATGACTCTTGTGGTGATCATCGCGATCAATCTAGCAGTGGGAATTCTACCCCAGGTTGACAACTTTGCCCATATTGGAGGATTTCTTTCTGGTTTTCTCCTCGGGTTCGTGTTTCTCATCCGCCCACAGTTTGGATGGTTTAACCAAAGATATGCTCCTCTTGGGTATATTCCAGCGTCAGTAAAATCTAAGTTCAAGACTTATCAGTGTGCATTGTGGATCATATCTCTCATCCTTTTAATTGTTGGGTAAGCAATTCAAAGTTTGTCATCTATTTTAAAGCGAATTCTGTTTCTTTGATTGGATTATTCTTAAAGAATTTAGAAAGGTATTTCGGCTCTTGATAGCCCAAAATTGTAGGAGAAGTCAGGTAATTTGTTTGACAACTTAGTATGCTCATGAGATTGGTATCCCGGTCTACATTACAACATCCTTTGTTGCTATCTTTTCCCCATCCAGCTATCCTCCTTTCCTATTATTCTGTAGTTTAATTTTCAGTATTGATTAGTAATGCATACAGGAACATAGAAGCATGCTTTACGTAAGCTAAGCTAACTTTAATTTGTAGGTTTACCATTGGCGTGGTTCTGCTTCTCCGAGGAGTTGATGCAAATGAACATTGTTCATGGTGTCATTATTTGTCTTGCGTCCCTACTGCAAAATGGAGCTGCAAAACTGAACCTGCATACTGTTTGGTAACGAAACGAATCCTCCCTTCGCCAACACACACCCACCCACTCACCCACTCTCCTGCATACATATATCAGAAAATTTTGTCCATGTGGACCACTTCCTTTCTGGACCAATTTGTCAAATGGATTCAATGACCTAATTTATTTACTGAATGCTGGATGGGTTTTAATAATCTGGAGGGAAACGTGGTATCATATATGTTTTTAGCCAATGCATCCTTTTAGATCAGTTGGAAATGATTGTGCAAGTTGCGGGCATCTTGACACTGCTTTGTTCGAAAGCAGGTGACAATAAATGTGTAAACAGATTGTAGGCTCTAAATGCATGTTTGGCATGCATAGGATTAGCCTTTGAAAATAGTTTCTGATTACCATTTTAATTTGTATTTTGTGAAATATATACCATAAGCTTAAGCTTGATGCTTTCAATATTGCAGTCCACCCAAATACGGAACCAGCTGAACTTAACGTGCTCAAGCAATGGAAAATCGAGCATGTACATATTGCCTGGTGCAACGAGTTCCCAGATACAGGGGCTGTGTACTGAGCTTTGCCGTTGATTTATTCAAGTTGTATGGATGGAAGTGGACACTAGCCAAATACATGTACAAATCATATTATTGGTGCCACATTTTTTGAAAGCTATTCTGTTAATATCTTTCTTTAGTTACTACTTATTAGTATAGGTGTCCAAGAGCCAATCTTATTTGGATAATTTGATATATTGTAACATTACATTTTATTATTAATAAAGAATTTTTTTTATTAATTTTTTTTTATTTATAATTTGATAGAATTACATAAAAATTCATATGATATGCATTGCATTAATGATTAATCGAAAGATGTGAGATAAATATCAATGTATTTAAATAATATCATTAAATGTTCCAAGTTGTAGTATTATCAAGAATGGACAATGATTATATATGGTAAGATTTGTGAGTGCTATGCTCATGTTATAAGATAACAGTAGAAGATCTTACACCTATTGGTTTGGTGATGCCAAAGTAAACACTTAGATGATTAATATTAGAGAACATATTACTAGACGTGACTCGTCATGAGAACCTATTTGATTTAGTCTATAGGAATCTCATATGAGATGGATACAATTAGTCTTTTAACTTGAAGTCATTACGATTATCTTATTAGAGGATTAATATACTTTGACATTCGTTTCGATGGACTTAGTCAAGAGTTGCATGTGAGCGATTCGTTGGGTGCACTAGGAATCTAACAAAGATAAGTGGATGATCGAAATAGGACATGTCATTTCTTATATGCTAAAGGAATTATTACATTGCACTTCGATGAATGTCTGCTAAAGGAATTTGTGGCCACAGTGGTAGTATACCAATAGATTATGGTTGGTTTACTTTAGAGCTAAGATATTTGAGAAACGAAAAAAAACTTGTGCAATCATAATCGAATAGACAATGAATCAAGTTCGAGATTACACTATGATAAATTGACATGAGTATTGAATTATATGATAACCATGCTCATAAAAGATAATTGTGGATTAATTAATCCTCCAAGAGAATTGAATAGTCATGATGCCTTACTAGAGATCAATCTTAATTTATATATTGAAAGATAAAAGAAGTGTCTTCTATTTTTGATACATTGTCGACATATCTAAGAGTCTATTGGGTCACATGCATAAGTTTAAATATTCACATAATAAAAGAGAAGTAAAGATTTTGGAAAAGGTTTCCTATTTTGAAAATTTTTTTCTAAAATGAAAAGTTTTCTATTTTGGAAAAATTTTTCTATTTTGATACACTACCAACATATCTAAGAGCCTATTGAGTCACACATATAAGTTTAAATATTCACACAATAAAAGAGAAGTAAAGATTTTGGAAAAGGTTTCCTATTTGGAAAGTTTTCTCGTTTTGAAAAAAGTTTTCTAAAATGAAAACTTTCCTGTTTTGGAAAAAGTTTTCTATTTTGAAAAGTTTCTGTTTTGAAAAAAGTTTTTTAAAATGAAAAAAAAATCTCTATTTTAGAAATTAGTTTCTTAATTTGAAAGTTGGTTTCAAATTTGAAAGTTAATTATCTAAAAAGGAAATTAGTTTCCTATTTAGGTTTAAGGATAATTTGAAAAATCATTTCCTAATGTGAGCCTCCTAAAAATATCTAATTCAATTTATTTAGATTGTCCAAATTAATCGATAATTGATTAGGCCAAAAGAGTTCGGTCTAATAAGCTTAAGTTAAAAACCTATAAGATATGATGAGCACTATTAGATAAGGCTCGTGGTTTACAAGAATAAAGTTAGACAAAGTCAACATAGGCAACATCTCTTTGACCTATAAGAAGAAGTTGTCACCCCCTTATAAATAAAGGAAAGAGAGGTGATATTAGCAAGTAATTAAGAAATAAAAAAGTAGACTCACCGTAAAAAGAAAAGAAAAGAGAAAAAAGTTTTCTCTCACCAAACCCGCCACTTCTCTCTCTTTATTTTCTAGTGGTTGGCATAAATTACCTTATAGGATTTTTAAAGAAAAATAAACTATACGGAAGAATTAGAGCTAGCACTCTAGGATTTTTATGCTTCTTGTATAGGTGTTTGAGCTGCGTGAATAATCAATAGAGGTCGAAATGGTTCCCTTTTCACTTGAATTGTTTCTACGCTATAAAAGGTAATCATTCACCTATATTTATGTTCATATTTATGTATGATTAGTTGATTCAATGGTCTAATCTATGAAATCGTAGATGGTGGATTTTTTTCTTTATTCGTACCTCTATAGGATACACGATCCTTCAATTAGTATCAAAGCATCCGTTGAATCTTTGATTGTATGTTTGTTAATTATGATTAATTATATAAATTATTATTTTCATATTATAATGTTTTTAAAACTGATTTTGGGCTAAGGAAAAATAGGCACGGGTGAGGCCACCGTTAGATGTTTTCTCTCGTGTGCGCTAGGCCTATGCCAAGCCGGGCATACACTCGGGTACGTGTCGGGCCATGTGTGCCTCACACACGCCAAACGTGTGCTAGGCACTCATAAGGCTAAGCATGCCTCACGCACGCCAACCTTCCGGCCAAGCTAGACTCGTATCGTGCATACTAGATGCACGCTAGATGTACAAAGGCTAGGTACACGTGCCATGCTAGTGGCCAATGTTGGGCCGTACGTATGCTAGCATGCCATGCCAATGGCGACTACGGCTAGTGCCAAGCTTTGCCACTGGCACATGCCGAAGGCCCACGAGCTCAAGTTGGGCCCAAGATCTAAACGTTTAAAAATTAAATTTGAGAAATTTTAATGTTTTTTTAATGACCAAAACCATAGATTTATAATTAGAATTAATATGAAATGTGTTTCATTTGAATGTCATGTATCAATGTGATTGAAGCATGAGTAAATGGTATGAATGAGTAGAACTAGTTTTTGAGAATGTATGTTTGTAAATTTTTTAATTAAATAAGGCATGCATATCCCGCCTTCTTTGTTATTCCGATGTATTTCTCTTCTCATCTTACTCCTCTCGAATGTAACTCAAAGTTTCTTATTTAAGAATTATTAATGTAGAAGATAGATTATTAGAATAAATGCAAGAAGAATGAGCCAATAAGAGAAGATAATCTCAAAGAAATTATAATAATTTTTTCTAGATATTTGATCCAAGTAGTCTCCTTATGGCTCGAGGGAATAGTGAAAACCTATTACCATTCACCAAACCTTAAGTCATGTATGAGATTGATGTGATTGAACTCCTATATACATGATTATGTGATTGATAGTATGCATGATAGGATTAATGTGATTGAAATCTAGTATGTATACAAGGACCAAATTGATGAGACTACATCATATTAAATCCGTAAAAAAATATTAACTTTAAGTACCTTCTAATGTTATGAAGAGAGAACTCCCTTGGTTGTTGTTGACTTGTTGGGATAACTTGAGGTCATTTCTTCCTCGAGGAAATCAAATCATGGGTTATGCGATGTCCTTGAATGTTTGGCTTTAACTTGAGACGAATTGTTGAGTTTGTTGAGATAACTTAAGTGGCCTTTAAATTTGTAGGTGGTATTCACATAAGATGTGAGATGACAAAGAGTTGTCATGCCAATAAGATTAAGAATTACATTCGATGCAATTGATAAGGAGTTACCTACCTAATCTTTCATATATGACTTCTTAAGATAACTCAAGGTTAATGCATGTTAGAGGATGAGATCCTAACCCACTAAGAAAAATAAATCAAAAAGTTTTCTAGTGGTCCTATATTAAAGATTAGAGAACTTGAAAAAAATAGTGGGAGCCGATAAGTGTATAATTAGTATTATTTTTATATTCTATTATATTGAATTTCTAGCGTTTATTATATTTTATTTAGTTAATTAAGATCAAGATGATAGTTTTGGGTTTTATAGAAAAAATGATGAATTGAAGCAAATGAACCTCAAACCAAAGCAAGGAAAAGTCATCAAGGAGGCTTAGGAAAGTCACACGGTCATGCTATTTATAAAGAAAAATAGCTACTAGTTATGTGACATTAGGAGAGAAATTGTGTCGATTGCTCACCAACAAAGCCACACGAACAATAGCTTTTCATACGACCGGAGGAAGGAAATCCACGTGGTTGTACGTGTGTTAAAGCCAAAGCACATTCCAAGAGAAAAGAAGTAGCACACGAGCAAAAGGCATTCCATATGGAATGCATTAAAGAGAGACACGTTCATAACTTACAAAGTCGGAAGAAGTCTACACGAGCATATGGAAGTTATATGGAATGAAAAACAAACCCACACAGTCGTGTGCCTATACCAATCAAACCATGCAACACCAATCTTTCAAGGCTTTAAATCGTGTGAAATAAAAAACAAGCTATGTGTCTTTACTACGCAAACCGTGTGACTATGTGAGGCTGACATATATATGATGTAACCTTATTTTTAGCTATAAATAATGATGTTAGGGTTTTATTTTGATATTTCAACTTCCAAGTAGCCACCATAGATAGAAAAACCTCATTTATAATCAATTATAAACAACTAAACATCCATCTTGATTGAATCAAGTTAAAGTTTTTGGTTAAATCACTATGAGGTTATTGGCTTTCATTCAAAACCTATTTTATTTAAGTATTTTATGTTTTTCTATATGATTGGTTTATGGTTATATACTTAAATTGATTAGAGTGTACTTTAATTGTTTGATCATCTTAACTTATTACTAGCTAAGTATTCAAGTCCATATAATTGCTTATCTAAACTTTTTTATGGTAGTAACTAGGGGTTGATGATTATTTTTTACATTTTCATTCATTCTCTTAGAAAACATAAAACTAGATTACATCTTTCTAGCGTCTAGGAGGGTGGTTTAGCTTCACTTCTCTTTCTCTAATTAATGTTATTATTGGATTAAATCTATCTAATGTCTCGTATGTAATTCAATAGCTAAGGAATTAATCAAGTATTATATATTTGGTTAACGACCGAGTCATAAAAGACTAGGGACAACATACATATTGTTATCCTATGATGAATATTCATATTTATGATAGGTTAATAATTAAATAGTTGATCAA